TAGACATTTTACATTATGATCATAATAAAATTATTTGAATATAAAAAAAAAATACTAAGAAAACAATTATGGTTAGTACTACGTCTATATAATTGCTGAATGATTTAATTGATAAAACGTGTTACTTAGAAAAAAAAAATAGAAAAAAATACAGTCACTTTGTTACAGCATGACAAGGAAAATTATTTGCATCCATATGTGAAACCTGTTTATCTGAAATAATGTTAAATATTTTAAACTTATTTGTCAAACGTTTGACATTGCAAAAATAAAAGTAAACAATTCTTCCCTTCTGGTTGATATATGTGCACTTGTTGATAAAGTATATCTTCATGCTATACATGCTATAGTTACTTTTACATAAAATTCAATGCAAAAAAAGTAAGTCCATCTCGTAGGACAAGGTACAATAAATGTCACCAATCCAACAAATCATTTAACCCACCCGAATTTCGCGGAAATGAAAGATAACAGGTCGTAAACTTTGATAACATGTTCTTAAGGTTAAATCCCGTATTTTGGGAAAAACCAAGTTTTGACAAGCTGTTCACATAGATATTATATGGTTCTATAACTAGTAAACCTTAAACAGCATGCTTTGTCATTGTTCGGACACAGAAAGGACACTTAATTATGAATCTGTTGAAAATGCACTGCTACTTTATTATATTAAAATAGTGGGATTTTATTGAAGATAAAGTGTGCAGTCCGGCTTGACTCGTTGGGACGTGAACCCTAACTGAAAAAAGAAGGTGCATATGATCTAACCAGTTATTATCTTAATTGATTAAACAGATTGAAATTATCGTAAATATGTCCTTGGACCAATCGAGCCTCGTGCAGATTGAATATATTTAAACCGCCAACTTGTCATATAAATTAGGACAATGAAATAAATGGTTATAAATAATATTATTTTCCAATAATCAAAACCGATGTCAAAACTCCCAACATTTTCTTTAATGCTACGTTGGTTTCGTGCCATCCTTGAATACGGGAGATCACTAGGTTAATCCTATTGCCCTTCCTACATGCAGACTATTACCCAGTCTTAGGAACTAGCAATTCATAAATAAAACAGTTTATTCTTAGGACTGTTTTATTTGTACATATTTGATATTTTAATATTTCAAAATAATAAACAAAGACAGACCGCAAAATTAAAACGAGGGTCTGGATAGGAGTCTTTATTTCTGTTTTCTTTAATTTTCTATTTCATTTGTCTCTATCTTTTATTTATTTTGTCCAGTATTTTCAATTCTTTTTTTAGTATACCAGTTTTTCTCTATTTTTTTTAAAATGTCAAAATGCGAATATATATGTTCTAACTCTTTTATGTCACTTTTAAGTAACAACAGATAAAAGAACTATGTCAATTGGACCTGCTTTGATACGATTACTGCCGTTGAAATTTTACATGATAATATTTTTGTTCGCTATGGACATTCCGTATATCGTCAAGTTATCGGAATTCCTATGGAGACTAACTGTGCACCACTTATTGCGGATCTGTTTCTGTATTGTTATGAGTTACAATTTATAACTAAAATCAGCAAAGACCCATCGAAACAACATCTGATTCAAAAATTTAATAAGACTTTTATATTGGATGATGTATTGGCTCTCAATAATGACGACTTCAATATGTACACAAAGGAGATTTATCCTGCTGAACTGACTTTAAATAAAGCTAATACTAACAATGAACACTGCCCTTTCCTGGATCTTGATATCTATATGTTCAACGAGAAGCTTAATACCAAAATTTTTGATAAAAGAGATGATATTTCATTTCCTATTGTTGATTATCCATTTTTAGATGGTGACGTTCCCTTGGAACCATCTTATGGTGTTTATATTTCTCAACTTGTTCGATTCGCTCGTGTATGTAACAACGTATTTGATTTTAACGAAAGAAACCTCTGTATTACTGAAAAATTATTTCACCAGGGTTTTCGATATCACAAACTAGTCAAAACATTTACTAAAATTTATCATCGGTACAAGGACATCATTCGTAAATATAAATCAACATGCAGACATCTTATACGTTCAGGTATTTCACATCCAATCTTTTATGGTAATATTCTATACAAAGCACAAAATGTCGACATTCACCTCAAAAGCTAACTAAACCTTTGAACAGACTTATTCAGAAGGGATATAGTTACGATACTGTTGTCAGGTCATTAAAGATGGCATATTTTGGTATTAATATTGATTCACACGTAGTGTCTTTGCATCGAAAATAGACACATTTATTCTAAAATCAGTTGTTGGCAGGATACATGTACGGGTTATGTTCTACTCATATATTTTATTATGGTATGATACTTAACCCCTAACGGGAGGGATTGTGCTTGATTTTCATATGATGAAGACATAATCTTTCAATCAGTTTAATTGAGGTCTGGAGCTGGCATGTCAGTCACTGCTAGTAGTCCTTTGTTAATTTATGAATCATTGTCATTTTGCTTAGTTTCTTTTGTTACCTATTCTGACATCGGACTCGGACTTCTTTTAAACTGAGTTTTACTGTGCGTATTGCTGTGTGTTTGTTTGTTCTACATTGGCTAGAGGTATAGGGGGAGGGTTGAGATCTCACAAAACATGTTTCACCCTGTCGCATTTTTGCGCCTGTCCCAAGTCAGGAGCCTCTGGCCTTTGTAAGTCTTGTATGTTTTTTTAATTTTAGTTCACCTATATGTTTTAGAGTTTAGTGTGACGTCCATTTTCATTGAACTAGTACACATTAATATTTAGGTGATAGCTGAAGCCCGTCTCCGGGTGCGGAATTTTCTCTCTGTGTTGAAGACCCATTGGTGGCCTTCGGCTGTTATCTGCTCTTTGGTCGGGTTGTTGTATCTTTGACATATTCCCCATTTCAATTCTCAATTTTATAATTGTAGTTTAAGTTTTTAATCAACTATATGCACAGGAGTTTTTTTGTTTATACACAGTTTTGATTTAGAAGAAAAATTCCAAATTTGATATTCTCGTACGTGTCTATAAATAAAACAAATCTATTTTATTTTTAGAAATTTACCTGTGATAATATAAACGTCACAAAATATACGTCCCTTTTTATGACGTTGTTCCATTCATGTGACGCGCAGTTTCTATTTTGTTTGTGGTGTCCTGGTGTTCTGTCGTAAATTCATGGGCGGTTTCTGTTGCTATTCTTCGGTGTACATGTTGTAATGTACTATTATATTATTTATTTAAGTATTTCTCTGTGCTGAGTATTCTTGCGTTTGTTTGTACTGTATTCCTGTCACATAGTGTTGTCATTTAACATCATTTTTAACATTGCCTTATAAGTGGGAGGTTTGGCTAGCCATAAAACCAGATGCAACACCACCATTGTTTCTTAAAATGCCCTGTACCAAATCAGGAATATGGCAGTTGTTATCAAATAGTCAAATGTATGTTGGCGTTTGTTTTTGTTTCAGTTCAGTGTTTCCTCTAATAGTTAATGTGTTTCCACCGGTTTTGGTTTGTAACCCGGATTTATTTTCTCTTAATCGATTTATGACTTTTGAACAGCGGTATACTACTGTTGCCTTTATTTATGTGGTACAGTATAAACTAATGAAATAGTTGTATAGTTATCAATATTTTAATAAAAAAAAAACGATGTTTAAATGGCTGTCATCAGAGTGCGACGTCTGTTGCATCGACTCTACCGGTAATAATGCTTAATTAAGACTTATTAAGAAGGGATATAATTACGATACTGTTGTCAGGTCATTAAAGATTGCATATTTTGGCTTTAATATTGATTCACTTATAGGGTCTTTGCATCGGAATTAAACATATTTATCTAAAATCAGTTGTTGGCATGACACGGGTTATGTTCTTCTCATATGTTTTATGATGGTATAATACTAAACAAGACTAACAGGAGGGATTGTGCCTGATATTCATATGAGGAGGACATAATCTTTCAATCAGTTTAATTGAGGTCTGGAGCTGGCGTGTCAGTAACTGCTAGTAGTCTGTTGTTTTTTATGTATTATTGTCATTTTGTTTATTTTTTGGGTTTCCTATTCTGACATCGGACTCGGACTTCTCTTAAACTGAGTTTTACTGTGCGTACTGTTGTACGTTTGTTTTTTCTACATTGGCTAGAGGTGTAGGGGGAGGGTTGAGATCTCCAAAAACATGTTTACCCCGCCGCATTTTTGCGCCTGTCCCAAGTCAGGAGCCTCTGGCCTTTGTTAGTCTTGTATCATTTCTAATTTTAGTTTCTTGTGTATAATTTGGAGTTTAGTATGACGTCCATTATCACTGAACTAGTATACATATTTGTTTAGGGGCCAGCTGAAGGACGCCTCCGGGTGCGGGAGTTTTTCGCTGCATTGAAGACCCATTGGTGGCCTTCGGCTGTTGTCTGCTCTATGGTCGGGTTGTTGTCTCTTTGACACATTCCTCATTTCCATTCTCAATTTTATTAATGTTTGCATTGAAATTGGTTTCGATGGACATGCATGTAATATTAACTTTTATAGAGATTTACTTCATCTTTTCCGGGTGCATAAGTTATAAAGCTGAACAAATGTTTTAATTAAAATAGGCTTAATTGACTTATTGATGAGGGTTATTATCATACTTTTGTTATTCCATTAACCTGTTTTGTAATTTACGTTTGAATTTTGGTCCATGCTAGATGTTTTCGCTATAAATAAATATATATCGTTACGTCGAATGAAGCTTACACAATGTTTAGACGGGACTGTATGAAATTGTTCAAAATACCTTATTGTCCTAGTGCTTTGATTCTATTGGTCGCAATTTTTGTTTGTCCAAATCTATGAACAATAAAGCCATAGAAATTACATCAATTTAAAACTTTAAACAAGTATTCATTTATGACAATCTTCAGTTAAAATAGCCTTGCAACATCCTTCTTAACATCCGGGACGTAACATTACATGATAAGTCATCCACTTATCATTCAAGTTATAATATATTATTTAAAAATCCACCATCAGTTAAGAACTTTACCAGCCGTTTTATACGTTTATAATACAGCATTATCTGAATACTTACTTTAATTTCCGACCGACAAGTCTCTGAGTACCTCTCTGGTCAAGTTCTTCCTTTTCTTGTTTGTTTAAACATGAATGGAATACATACGTATATTATATATCTTACTGGATTATTATCAGTTTTTATATACATATGTGATTCGGGTATGTTTACATTAAAAATATAAGTAGACATTTTACAGTATAATCATAATTAAATCATTTGAATATAAAAACAAAATACTAAGAAAACAATGATGGTTAGTACTACGTCTATATAATTGCTGAATGATTTAATTGATAAAACGTGTTACTTAGAAAAAAAATAGAAAAAAATACAGTCACTATGTTACAGCATGACAAGGAAAATTATTTGCATCCATATGTGAAACCTGTTTATCTGAAATAATGTTAAATATTTTAAACTTATTTGTCAAACGTTTGACATTGCAAAATTAAAAGTAGACAATTCTTCCCTTCTGGTTGATATATGTGCACTTGTTGATAAAGTATATCTTCATGCTATACATGCTATAGTTACTTTTGCTTAATATTCAATGTAGAAAAAGTAGGTCCATCTCGTAGGACAAGGTACAATAGATGTCACCAATCCAACAAATCATTTAACCCACCCGAATGTTGCGTAAATGAAAGATAACAGGTCGTAAACTTTGATAACATGTTCTTAAGGTTAAATCCCATATTTTGGTAAAAACCAAGTTTTGACAAGCTGTTCACATAGATATTATATGATTCTAAAACCAGTAAACCTAAAACAACATGCTTTGTCATTGTTCGGAAACAGAAAGGACACTAAATCATGAATCTGTTGAAAATGCACTGCTACTTTATTATATTAACGTAGTGGGATCTTATGGAAGATAAAGTGTGCAGTCCGGCTCGCCTCGTTGGGACGTGAACCTCAAAGGAAAAAAAAAAGAAGGCGCATATGATCTTACCAGTTATTATCTTAATTGATTAAACAAATTGAAATTATCGTTAATATGTCCTTGGACCAATGGAGCCTCGTGCAGATTGAATATATTTAAACCGCCAACTTGTCATATAAATTAGGACAATGAAATACATGGTTATAAATAATATTATTTTCAGATAATCAAAACCGATGTAAAAACCTCCAAGATTTTCATTAATGCTACGTTGGTTTCGTGCCATCCTTGAATACGGGAGATCACTAGGTTAAACCCATTGCCATTCCTACATGCAGACTATTACCTTGTCTTAGGAACTAGCTCTTCATAAATAAAAACAGTTTATTCTTAAGACTGTTTTATTTGTACATATTTTATATTTTAAAATAATAAACAGAGACAGACCGCAATATTCAAACGAGGATCTGGATGGGAGTTTTTATTTCTGTATTCTTTAATTTTCTAATTCATTTGTCTCTATCTTTTATTTTTTTTGTCCATTATTTTCAATACTTTTTTTAGTATACCAGTTTTTCTCTATTTTTTTAGGCCTATTTCGACGTATTCTGCTAACCCCATCCAGATTCAAATACATGTTCCACCACAAATTACGAAACAGTACACTGTTTGGATATGTTAAATTATAAATAGAATAAACAACCAACTGTAAATACAACATGTGCAAGGAGCTTAAATTTGAAAAGAAAAATTTACTCAGTCAGATGATGAATAAGATACAGCTTTGCTAAGATAACGTTTGTTGAAAAATATTGGAAGACACATAAATACTTGGTTTGTTGTTGATATTAAATTTATTGTCCAGATACCATTTCATATCTTTAGTAGTTTTTTTTTAAATACGTCTAGATAAAGAACACAATGAGAAAACAATCTTTGATATTAAATTAAAATACCACTATATAAATGTCATGCGTCCAAAGCGCTTTTCTGTATTTTATTTCATCGGGAACGTTCAAAGCCGAACATATGATCTTATAGATTGTGTATCCTAAAAGAGGAGACTGGTAAACACTTTAGTGATGCTTAATACTTAATATGATTTGAGTTCAAATTTCCTGTCTATTTTCATTGGTAGGTTTTTAGACAATACAAATCGGTTGCCAGCACCTTCACAACATCGTTAGGATAAGCAATTTTCACGTGTTTTGACTTGTAAGATTAAAAAAAAGCCAAGTTATAACAAACTTCTCATTCACAACTGTTGATGAACTGAATTGTATATGGTTGTTTTTGATGTTTTTTCATGAGGAAACCATAATGTAAAATAAGTATTGTTATTGTTTCTTTTTTAAGATACTATTACTCTTTACTTGTCAAAGAAGAAAGTTCCAGGTTCACAAAGAGTCCTGAGTGGGATTTGTAATGCAACTGGACTATCAAGAAATGAAATTGCTTTGACTGATACATATTACAGCCCACCTATTTTGGCATGGATAGGTGCATTTGCAAATTATTCCCCTTGGATAGAATATAAAGGTATGACCAAATAGTTTCGTCTAGAAGACGCAAGTGAAAGTACTTGATTGTGAACTATATTTTTGTTTATTTTTCATCAAAACTGATAAATTATGCCACTTCTATTGTTTAAGAAATAAGGTAAACAGTTTGTTTTCTATTTCATGTGCAGTTTATTTGTTCTAAATGTTGTAGACTAGTTATGTGATTTTGTCTTAAGTTGAAGACTTGTGAATCTGTTGTGCAGCAGGTTTAACCGTGAAGCACGAATTGTTTGAAATACACTCAATAAAATTCGAAGTATATCGACAATTTCATATGATTCAAATGATTAATATATTTTTATCCGATTACGTCCTACACAATTTAGAGCTAAACATATCGTATATGTTAAATGTTGAAGACTATAAGTTGCCCTCTTGATGTCTTATTTTTCGCTGGGTTGCAATCTTATCATGTAAACCCCATATCTCCTTTTATTCATGATTATTACATGACATCTTTCAAAACTGGATGCTAGTAGATTTGAATAAAACTTATTACATACTAGTAAGTTTATATAAAATAGTTTTATAATAACATAATCGGTTTTAATTTTACTACAACAGAATTTCACTTTAACAACTAATGTCTCTTCAGTGATGATCAAGGCCAAAATATTTGAAAAACAAAAACCTAATACATACGTCGAAGAGCTACCGAAACCCTAAATGATCAAAACAAAAGCCAAAACAGAGCTATGCATGAGAAAGATATATTTCTTAATATAAACTGATTTGTAAAATTTTATAAACGAGAGGAGAAAGATACTAAAGTGGTATCCAAACTCGATAACAAACTTACAACGCCATGGCAAAAACAATGGTAAACAACAAAAAAGAAAAACCGTCTAGAAAACACAACAAAGAAAAAACTCAAAACTGAGCAACACAAACCCCACAATAAGCCGGGATTATCTCAGGAGCTCCGTAGAAAATAATTTTTCTTCATATAGAATAACATAGAAATACATATTTGGGAGAAAAAACACTGCACGATGTTTTAGAATTTAAAATCAATTTATAATAAACAAATAAACCTGATGTGCATTGAGTAAATAAATATGGTTAACTTGTTTGCCAAAAAAAACAAGACAATTTCCGAAGGGATATTGGAGTTTTCAGTTGAATGAAGACATTCAAAAGGAATGCAGAGACGAAACGACAAAAGTACATCTGACTTGTTAAGCATGACACATTTGTATTTTTTAATACATCGCTGTCGGTGATAAAACATACGCGAGGACAGAAAAACAAAAAAATTGAGACCGTAATAGCATCACTATAAAGATCATTTGATTCTCTAAGCTTTTGTTTGTTTTTCTTGACTTGTCTCCTTTTAATCAATTTACCAAATGTGAACATCGGTAAACAAATGTCGTATTAATCTGATTACTCTGGAAATACTCAAGTAGAAAATTGTGTATTTTTGTAAGCTTTAGTAATCAGTAGTGATGAACGCGTTCTTTTATCACGGCCTACTTGGTATACCTTTGTTATCGACGGTTTTCTGTTATAATTTTTCAAACGTGTATTTTTCCTAAAGCCTTCCAATTTCTGACATTTGTTCTACTGAGACGACACTTTTTACATTTATCTGATAAAAAATAAATGTTAAAATAAACAATGGCTTTGGTGATTTACTGAATTGCATACAAATAAAGGATAACTACAACCATTGATAATGCTACGAAGAAAATTATAAATAAAAAATTTGACAGATTTCTCGTTACCAAATATGAATTTATACTATCGGATTACATATTTTTACGTGATTACAATATCATTTAAAAATCTGCTGGATCTCAGCTCACTAAATTGTATTAACGTATACTAAAAGTGTATAGTTTCTTTAAAAGATTGTTTGTCAAGTTTACATGCAAAGGTTTCTTCAAGTCTTCCAATCTCATGATGTCCCCCGACAAACAGATCGATATCGTCAACAGAATTTTTAAAATATAAATTTTTTAAATTCACAAGTAAAATGAAAAATAAAACGATAAGGTTGGTAAAATATGTAACGACTTCAGTCGTTAGTGTACATTATTTGCTCGATTATAAGCAAACATAAATTTGAATCGACATAATTGAGCTGCGTCGGATAGAAATCGACCTTATGCAAGTGCACATATATGTACATGTACAAGACTAACATTGATTTTGGAACATTCAAATACGATGAATTTTGATCTTTTTTTTAGGGTTCTTATTTCAAACAGTTACAGACTATCCGTAGAATTTTTTCAAACCAAAATAGGTTAAGAAATGTTTTGATATTCATTTGCATAAGGTCGATTACTATCCGACGCAGCTCATATGTTATTAGCCGATATGATTCATCAACATTTTTAAATAGGAGTAATAAGGCGAGTGCCACTAGTGGAACACAAACTGATAACCTTTCCGAAATTCAAACCGGTTTTGGTTTTGGTATTAACATTCCTGTCTAAGTAGTAAAAAAGGAGTAAGGCTAATTTTCCGTGAATTTATTTCCAACTGGGAAATTTCAAACAGTCGTTCATTTTTTTTAACTAATTTTACAGCAGTTGATATGTGAATTTCGGGGTTCTAATGGTATAATGACTTATTTCTAAATATATGACAAACTTATAAATACCAAAACTATAATTTTAAATAGAATTGGCAAATTTTCGTTGTTTATAAAAAAAATATGAGTAGGACATTCTAACTAAAACCATAATTCTGTTTAATATAATTCCATATATTGGCCTTCAACTACAAATATATATACTTTTGTAAAAATTTGTCTTTCGATGGTATTTTGTAAAAAAAACGTACGAAGTTTGCCATATTACAAAATATTTACAACGAACTTGTAAAATTTATAATATTGATATATTTTGAAATGTGCAAACTGTTGAGAAAAAAATTGTAAGAATATATTTCTCATGAATATTCAAATTCCAGTAAGTTTTAACAACTTTCCATGTGCAATCCAATGATAGAAACAAATACAGGAGAAGTTGGCCAAAACTCTTAGCGGACATGTTTGAATAGGAAGGACAGATTTATTATTTTGATGTTTGTATACCTATATATATATATATATATATATATATATATATATATATATATAAATAAGGAGATGTGGTATGATTGCCAATGAAACAACTATCCATCAGAGTTCAAATGACGAATATAAAAGCAATCTACGTCAGCGTACGGCCTTCAATATTGAGAAAAAAACCACACCGTATAATCAGCTATAAAAGGCCCGGCATGAAAAAATGTTAAATAAGGAAACATCCAAGTTTTACACATACTCGACGATTTATGTTCGAGATATTTTCTAAAAATAAATCGCCAGCGAGAAAAAGTAGATCGACAGTATACGCCATCTTATAATTATTATCTAACAAAAGATAGTTCTTGTTGGTTTTCTCATGAAGTTGCTTTGATTCTTTTGGCTTAGATGAGTTATAAAATTGAGTGCAACTCACAGCGGGTGCCACATGTGGAGCAGGATCTGCTTACCCTTCCGGAGCACCTGTGATCACCCCCAGTTTTTGGTGGGGTTCGTGTTGCTTAGTCTTTAGTTTTCTATGTTGTGTCATCTGTACTATTATTTGTCCGTTTGTCTTTTTATTTTTGGCCATGGCTTTGTCAGTTTGTTTTCGATCTATGAGTTTGACTGTCCCTCTGGTATATTCGTCCTTCTTTTACGGAATGGTAAAGAAATTTCATACGAAAGATCAAAAACCAGATTGAATAAAATAACAATGTGGGTATTCGAGACCCGATTGATGAATTATATCGCTATTGGTTCGTGTTGGATACACATTAATAGATAAGCTCTGATAGTCAAATTAATATTTTTGATATAAAGCATTCCATTTGCTTACTCTGCCTGTCTAACAGCCTAGCTTAATTTGTGACCCTGAGAACTGCTGGCGTTCACCTTTGCTTCACGAGATTTTTCACTGTTAGGTTTCACTTTGTGTCAAATAACTACTAATAATGTAAATAAAATTCGAATAAGAGTATCCGAAAATGAAGAAAAAACGTTAAGGTAATAAGTACTTACGCCATGAAAATAAAAGCTCCCTCTCTTTTCCAAAATATCCCACAAACACAAAGGATACTGCAAAGCACTTCGTACCCTTTTAAAAAGATGATTTATTTTATTTCTTTAATAAGACGTAAGGTTCTGAGTAACACGAGATGTGCCATCAGCTTCAAAAGAGATTCTTGTGCTTTCAAATGTTAATGCTAATTCATCGACCCAGTCATTCATTATTCACATATGAATATCTTAAACAAATACGTGTCCATACTCTTTAAGAAATCTTTGGTGTTAGCAAGTCTATTATTGATTATAAAAGCTTTTCTAAATGGGTTCATAGACATACTCTTTAAGAAGTCTATGGTGTTAGCAAGTCTATTATTGATTACCTTTTTTAATTTGTTTTATTTTAGGATGTGGAAACATCAAATTCACATTCGAACCACTGCACATAGATTTTACTCAAAAGAATTTCAGTGTGGAACCAGACATTTCTAAATGTTTCGAATTTTGCCAGATGAATTACATTAAACACAATTATATTGGTTTTCAGCGATACAAATGTTTATGTTATTGTACCACTGATATAGAAATAGTGCCATGTGACAACAGTACTATCACAGTATGCGGGGATAATCAGAACTTCATCTGCGGATATGGGGATAATGTTACTGTAATATATGGGATAAAAAGTAAGTGCAGTATAATGAGGTTCTGCTTTCTGCATACATTGATCGTCAAACACACATTTAGTACGTTTGCTTTTTTATTACTTTCTTTATTAATTTAAAAACACATTTTTTTTTCAATTGTACATTGCTTGCGGGAGATTTAAACCAGTTCATAAATACACTATTAGTTCATATTACATACTTTTGTTTATGTAAACTGCTGTATCTCATGGTGTTCACATCTCGTTTACGCCTCATGTACGCAGGTTGTGTTCATAGAAATCCCAAAGAATGTAAAAGGCAGAAATATTAAAGTTGAAAATACTACCATGATGCACCAAGTTTAGACATTTTCATTTGACCTCATATTGCAAATAGTAAAGTGCAGTTTGGACAAACTGAAAAAAATGATCGCTCAATAGTTACGGTAAAAATATGCCACTCAAAACACGAACTAATTATGTATTGTGGAATCTCCGGTGGTATCAAATCGTAGGTACATTACATTAAATGGTGCAGTCTGAAGCTACCGCATTATTTTCACACAGAAATTTAGAAATTGTTATATATAGATGCCAGT